CCCCAAAACCCCAAAACCCCAAAACCCCAAAACCCCAAAACCCCAAAACCCCGTTTTGGATTGGATTAATTGAAATTTTAGAAGATAGTTCATGTCTTTTTAGGTATATCTCATTGGCCTTTCACTGTATTTGAGTTTTTGTACGTCTTCGTCTTCTTCAAGACATGGTCGTCAATTGAGAATTGGTAGTGGTTATCTTTCAACACATTGAAACTCATCTTTGGGTTGCTTGGTTTCTTCACCATTATGCCAATAAGAATGTTTGACTTTATATTATTTTTGCTAATGTCTGCGTTCGTTTTACCTGATCACAAAATTCCAGATCTCTGGTTGCCTTCGATAAGGTTATTCATGATTTTCCCATCAGAATCAAGCAGAGTAATTCCATCTAAGTTCTCAGTTATAATATTTTCATTGATGATTGTGGGTCTCTCAGCTTTCGCCATAAAAATACCTTCAGCAATTGATTTTCAGATTTCATTTCTCTCAATCACAGTTTCGTGGGATCCTTTGCCACCAAATGCAATATTAGCCTTTAAATTTTTCGATACTAAATACAAAGATCAAATCATATTGATTTCACAAATATTCATAAAATAAGCCTCAACTTTATCAAATTCCAAAAATCCTTTTTTCTCATAATATAGAATTCCTTTTGCTACAAAATGCGTATAACCTCTTATCCCGTTACTTACTTATATTCTCCATTATTTTGCATGAACTACCTTCCACAATCAGGATTCCCTGGTTAACATTCGTATGAATATTATTCTTGCCTACTATATCTGCTTTGGCAAGGTCAAGAACCTTGATTCCTCACTTTCTGTTATTATTAATCGTGTTGTTGTGGATCATCACTCTCAGTCCATCTCCTTGGATCTGAATGCCATTAAATTTGCAGTTAGAGATAGAGTTTCCCTTTACTGTTGGGTTGAACTTGCCCTCTTTAAGGGTCGCATGGATTAACAACCCATGCCCATGAGACTTCTCAATCTCATTTGCAATCACAGTTGACTTGTTGTTGAATACCTCTATTCCGTCATTGTTCTGGATAAGCTGGTTCTCCCTGATATCTGCTTTTACGAAGTCACCTATTTTAATACCTATGAGAAGTTAGAAGACTGGCGTTGACCTATAATGTTCTAGAAAATGTCCGATAGAGGTGAAGATGCAATATCAGAAATTATCTAGGAATTTCGACTAAAACGTACCGACTGAGTTGCAATATTTCACTTCATTGCCAATGATTTCTGGTGTTCAACCTGGTCCTTCTATGTAGATACCTGCAGTCTGGCATTTTAGAATCTTGTTGTTACTGATTTGGAAAACACTGTCTTGATATGGACAAAGGCTGAGCATCAAGCCTCCGGCAAGATGGTCTTTGACCACTGTATCCTTTATGATCACATCAAATGGTCTGATGGCTAGTAGCCCTGCTGTAAATACTTCTTCATCAGGATCACCGAAAAGGAAACAATTTATGATGGATAGACTGGTTCTTTCATGAGCAGCTATTCATGGAACCTTCTCTGTCATATTTGTAGCAACTCCGTTGAGACTTAAAACTCAACGGTTTAGAGAAAGCGAGCCTGATAAGAGCATGATGGCACTAGGAAGACCCTCATTAAGCTTAAATTCTTTGATGCACCTCTCATTTCCTACCTTTTCATAATTCATGTCAATCTTTTGGATGAATGTAGAAGTAGCAGTGGGGCCTTTATAAACCATTCGAATTCTGTTAATTTCAACTTTGTCTTCTTCATCCAATGCAATGGTCACACAAGGTCTTTTTCCTGAGAGTATGATTACCTTAGCATCTTCATCAGTAGTTTCTATAGTCAGGTTGGGTGTCTGGACCACTAAAGATTCACTATAGTTGCCTTCAGTGATTTGAATGATATTTCCTGGGCTAGCAATAGCTATAATGCCTCTGTGATGCTCATCGTATATTTGACGCCCTTTATTGGTTCAAAGTCTTCATCCCCGCACTCCCTGTCAACCCTGATGACGTCTCTCTGGCTTTTAGAGTACTCATCTACTTGGAGAATAGGGTCGCTTAAGTCAACATTGTCTGTCTTCTGGTCTGAAGTGGTTGTCTTCATTTCTTCTAATTTTATTTTATAGGAATTTATAACCAAATTTGGGGTTTTGGGGTTTTGGGGTTTTGGGGTTTTGGGG